GGATAAATTTTGGCCTCACAAGATGGCCGAGTTGCTGTCTTAATCTTACATCTTGCGTAATTAGTTATTAACGAGTTTTAATTTGTTAAGCTCTGGCAAAGGTGATGGAACGCTGAGAGAAGGCATTGAAGGCTCTCAACACAAAATAACAATGAGGAAGGAAGGAGGAGGGTCTCATTTAGTATGTGTCAGTTCTAAAGACAAATAGAACGAACTCGAGAAACATACCACGTCTTATACTGAAGGTTGGAGTAACTTTCCATCAAACTCGTGCCTCTTGCACTAAATAGTCTTTGTTACTCAATCAATTTCGGATGCTATGACCCAGTCCCCCTTTGGTTTGACCCTTCAGAGCTCCCTGCCTTTCCTCGTTGAATCAGTATCTTAGTTAAAAATTAACAATATGCATTAGAAAATTAGGTAGGAGACATAAACTTTTTTGTTTGGAGGCAAATAAGTTTATTTGTACTGAAATGTGATTGGCCAAGACCAGCAAAATTTGAAATACTTACATGAAAACTACAGTTTCTGTGGTGTGCGAAATGATATTGTTTGTATTTTTGAAATAATGGCGAGAAGGTTTCCCAATTGTGACGCGAAAGAACTGCAAGAAAATAAGAAGGCAGAGACGAGAAGATAATTTACTGAAATGAGGTTTCAAGCTTAATACAGTTCTCGTGGAAAATAATTTTCCTCATATTCATGATTAATTGTCATCCGGTGAATAAATTCCTATCAACAATGTTCGGCAACTCTGAAGAACCAGAAGCGATAGATCCGGCTTTCTCTTAAGATTTCCAAATGGTACACAAGAGAGTGCTCCTTATTCCCCCTTTTTTAAGAAAAGTGATTTTGTAGCCAGTAGTCTACATAAAGTTTTAAACTTAAAAACGATCAGTTTGGTTACTGTAGTTCATTTGAACGGGGAAAGGAAAACTGCCTTCCGATCGATCATTTCGTTGCTTTCAAGTTTGCAATCAGCGATTCATTTTCTCTGACTCTAAGTAGGATACAGCTGCTTAATATAAAACAGCTTTCTTTGGCCCTTTTGAGTTTTAAGAATCTCTCAAATAAGATTTAAAAATTGTTAATACTCTGGCTGTCTACAAAATTCTATGTGCGATTTTAGAAAAGATTACAGCCCATCTAAAGTAAGAAAAATTGCTTTAAACTGTCTTTCAGTTTAGTTAACAATGAGACGCGATGTGTCTTCAAATAAAACTGCAGCATACTGAATTTTACTTTCAAAAATGGTATTTCTATCAACTCATATGTATAGCTATGCCACAGAACTAAGACAGCAAGTGGTTTATGGAATTCACATTCCTTCGCAGCTTATATCTGACCATAAACGTAAGATTTCCTTCCTAAAAGTTTTGTTGTAATTATGTATTTGGACGGTCAGGTCTGTTCAGATTGCCTCTGAAAATGGCTGTGCCTTCACATCGTTCTTGTTGTCAATCAAATAAATATTTCCACTTCCCATGATTTCTTTGATCAAAGCATTTTTAAACCGAAGTGTTTATGCAGCGCTTTCTTGAAATATATTTTTCTTTCTTACGGTTGCACGACACAGCAAATATTTAGTTATTATAACAGTGTAACATCACACTGTTTGATAATAATGTCGAGCGACTATATTACTATTTGAGCGTGACAATCAAACCTGATTCTGACTTACCTATAACTGATAATGACTTACCTATTAAACATCGCTTACAAGGTGGCAAATGCTGAGTTGCTACACAATTTATCATTTACTAAAAGTAACCAGTTCACTGATCACGACTGTGATGATTCTTTTAAGTTTATTTTCACGCTTGACCCTTTTTGGGCTTCGTATCCAGCAGTTCAGCTTTAAGGGGGGGTGGAAACAGAAGCCTGTAGGTCGTGCCAAAGGTAGGACAGAAAGTGGTGTACACAGAAGAACTGAATGTTGTAAATCAGTTTTTCAATCAAGTTCTTGTGAATTATTGTCTCAAATTCTTCGCAATTTGTTGCTAGTTGTCGTCACTTAGTTGTATTAAGTATTAAAAAACGCATTTAAAACTGTTGGAGTTGTATCTATCGTACGGTTGGAGTTATCATACGTGTAAGGAAGAGAATTCTGTTTTCCGATAAAGTGATGACTCTTGCCTTTAATTACCAGTTCTGTAGGCTTGCTGTCTCGCCAGTAAACAAGACGCACTACTCAAGAGAGGGGTAAAGCAGTGACGTTTACTGGCTCCCACTCTCTTTGGCCTGTACTTTTCACACGTCTTCAGACAAGCCTACCAACAACCGGACAAATTAGTTGGTGTGTCAGTGCTAATTGGTGTTGATGGTAATTTCTTCCGTCTGCCCCACATCAAGGTAAAGACAAAAGTTCGAGAAGTGGTCATCAGGGGGCCTCTCTTTGCTGATGATGCTGTTCTTTGTGCCTCATCTACGGAGCAGCTTCAAGAATTTCTGGACTGTTTCTCCTAGTCATGCAAAGTTTTTGGTCTTACCATCGGCCAGAAGAAAACCGTCGTTATGTCGCAATCTGCACAGCCACACACTTTTAAAGTTGACAACACACCACTAGGTAATGTCAAACAAGTTTTCCTATCTGGGATCAACGATGCACTCAAACGTGTCTCGAGAGGACGAGATATCCATAAGACTTGGGAAAGCTTCTACAACTGATCGTGTATGGAAGAATACGCATCTCACCACTAAGACCAAAGTAAGGTATGAAGCCTGCAATTCGAGTATCTTACCATTTGGTGCTGAATGCTGGACCACATACAGATACCTCAGATGCCTCAGATCTCTCCTTGGAATCACATGGGAGGATAAGATGACAAATGAAGAACTGTTCCGAATCGCAAACTCTGGTCACTCTCTTCAAAACCGAAGCTGATAACACTCCGCTGAGCAGGACATGTCAACAGGACGCCAAAACATCACATTCCACACACTATACTGCACAGCGTCTTCAGAGAAGGGACCAGATCTGTAGGGCGACCTAAGCTCCGATTCAAAGACGTTCTTAAACGTGGACTCGTGGTATGAATCTAGTGTGCTGGACAGAGACCTCAAAGCACCGTGATCAGTGGCGAGTCAGTATTCACAGAGGAACAAAAATAGATGAACTGATGAACCTGAAGAAACTCAAGAGCTGTCATCTTCGATGGGCGAAATAGATGACCTCATTCGGCATTGTCGGTAACGACAGACGCCTGCCTGAACTGAAGTGAACTAAGATGCAATCTAGCTGCCCTTGATAACCACAAGCAGTCCGGAATTTACGCTCGAAGCATTGAAAGTCATGGACTTTAGAGGGTGTCCTCTCTTCAGAAAGAATTTGAGGAGAATGTGGCAAAGAAAAGCTCTGTCCCTAATCCTAAGTTTCTACCCCTAACTCAAAATGATGGAGATACCATTTTTTTGTTGTTTTCTGAACTTAAGACAGAGAGGATCAATTCTTGCTTGGGAAAAGCTGTGAGGCAAATGTTGCTAGAAGACATTAAATATGCCTAACGACTATTGGTTAATACTTCCAGCAGTTGCACACACAAAAGCGCAGCTTGAAACAATCAAACCAGAAAACACTGCGTAGGATGGATTTTTTGGTATAGAAGCGAAGAAGTCCAGAAAGGATGGTAAGGCACTTGTAAGCATTCAGGAGATGAAAATCAGCAGCATGATAAAGGACGTTGAAGAGCATTTGCATTTTTGTAATTTCATGGTGTCTTGTTCGCTTTTACCATATTTGATCCAGTTTAAGTGCCTGGAACCGATCAATCCGGTTTTAAAGTGCATGGAAAAGACGAGATGAAAGTGTTGGCTTCCCACTTCTTCCGTCCAGACGAAGGAGCAATTGGCAGATTACAATCGTAATGGAACCAAATGAAGTACGAGATCACTGAGAACATCAAGGCAGCAATACCAGAAGAAGTGAGGAATAGTAAGACAAGCAACATCCTTGCATGGTTCCTCTACCAGCTTATGAAGAGTAAAGTGAATTACCCGCTGATGTTTGGAATGCTGCTTTGGGTTGCTGAGGTTTCATTGACACTGCCAGTCAGCAATGCGTGACCAGAGAGGAGAGCAAGTGCAATGAAACTTGAAAAACCAGATGCAGAAGCTCATTGCAGAATAATATGTAACCCTCCACGGGATTTCAGGGAATAGGGTGAACGCACGCACGCGGTACACTAGCACGCTAAAACAAAAGAACGAGCTTTTAACACGTTAGCTGCGTGCAAGTTACCTGCCTCATTAACTAGGCAGCCATTGTCTTGCTTCGCACGGTAGAAACAAAGGAACATGTTGAGATCTTACTCGTAACTGTGCACGATATAACACGGTGATCGTGCCAGTTTTATAACACGCCGGTTTCGCTCGGAAAGCTTCACTTTGCGCCGGCTAACTAGCGGTTATTTATTTTAAAAATGCCGCTTTGCATTGAGTGACCAACAGCGATCGTGGAGGAGACATGGAGCCGGATAATAATTTAGTAGCGAAGTAAGCTGGGTTGCATAAGATAAGCTAGCATGTTAAGAAACAAATGAGCTCAGCGTGTTAAAAAAAAAAAATCAAGCGTGTTATAGAAACAATGCTCTATCGTGTTGGCCAGATATGAACAATGGCTACAACAAGCTTTCGAAAATCAACTGCTTTTATGTGCATATCTGCATGGCAAGCGTGTCATGCCATCAGCGTGCGAGCGTATTAAAACGTGCCGTGTGCGTGCGTTCACCTTATTTCCTGAAACCTCGTGGAGGGTCACATGTTTGAAAGCCTGCTCGTGGTTTTGTGTGGAAATCCCTTTTTTCCCCAACTTTCCCTGACCTGTTGTGGCCATACACCATGCAAATCAGTACAACTATTTCCTACTGTAATGATGAAATTGGTGCAAAGAGGGGTCTAGTGCGCAAACAGAAACAAGTCAGCGCCTGAATAGGTTTGGAAAATTGAAATCCTAGCCGCTGTCGTCTCCTATAAGTCTACGTTGAAATAAACTAAAGATAACACTCGTTTCAAAATTCTTCGTTGTTATCGTCCCTTCCCTTAAAACAGTCATAGCCTAGACTCCCTTGAAATTACTTATCTCAATATTTACACTACTGAACGTAAATGTACCTCAGGCGACGAACGAGTTAGCGTGTTCAATAAATTCTTGAAGATTACGTAAGGGTACATGGTTTATATTTCTAAGTTTATTTCCAATTTTTTCACAGAGATCAGATTATAAATATTTTAAATTAAAAAATAAAAGAATGTCCAAAAACAACAAAATAAAAAATATAGATAGTACTAAAATAATACATCGATCTCTTTGGTATAAGGTAAATGTAGCGTTACCAAAGCTATGAAAATCATCAAAACTAGGCCCCCTGGCGAAAGCTAAAACTACAGCATTTGGTACGTTAGTGACAAACCTAGATTCCAAAGTACCTGTCTTTTCTCATATTTACCTCGCCAAGCACTGATGATGACCGGAGAGGTGGTTAATCATGTCACTGTACCAGAAAATAAAAACATAAGTCATCCTAGCAAGCCTTTTCATACGCTCTTGTCCGGAAGGTCAAACACTCGTTTCAAAAAGCCTGATAAATCTTAGAAAATAGCGTAAGAACGATTTCTGGTCTGAGAAATTGTTTTGCAAACAATAAAATGACATTTAAGCCATCAAATGACTACTCAACATCTCCCATTATGTATCTAGTTAATATACGGAACAACGGGAACTTATTTCCAATGTTCAGTGCTAAAAAAGCGAAAATGATCATTCTTTAGAGGAATGAACATAAATTCAGCTCATATTAGAGAACATTAGCCTTCTGCACTGTTAAGATCCTTTGCCAAGAATTTCAACTTCGAGAAAAGGTTGTAACGTAAAGACCTTTAAACGCCTTAAAAGGCCTTTCTCCTGAAGATCTGTTAGTGTAAAATGTTGCTTCCCATGGCATTTCTACTAAAGCTGGGAATCAAACTTCTGTTTCTTTCTTCTTTGACATTTCAGCGGTAACAATCTCAAAGGCATCGTCCCGACCAATCTGCTGCAGTATTTCTGATAATTTTGGCAGAGAAAATCGATATTGTGGTACATCAATCGTCTCCAAATAGTTAAAGAGGATTTCTGTAGGAGAATGATTTTTCCTACTATCAATCCACTTAATGTGTTCATGAGTGAGGCCAAACTTATCTGCCAAAACTTTCCAGTCGGACTCTAGTGGGGGGTCAAGTATGAGAGCAAGTTTACTCCGCAATTCGCGACTCAGCAAACCCACAGTTTGCAGTGACTCGAAACCAACAGAAAAGTATCCAGACGACATCTGCCTTGCAGACATGGGAGACGAGGAAGGGATACCCCCACATGTTCCAGCGACTTCTGACTGTCGATAATGCCAAGGATTACCGATTGATCCTGCATTCAACAATGCCGTGGAATGATCCATCAGGCACGCAAAACTTTCCCCTGTAGGAAAGTTTGCCGAATCTTCGCACCTTGCAGCGAGGCTGGTGTTTGATTGCCTTTGATCGTTCCTTGGTCCCGTACTTTCCTAAAAATATAAAGAAAGGCAACTTCACCGCAGTGTAACTGACCAATGTAGATCTACCGATTAGTAATTACCAATACTCTTATAGGTTTTCTTTATCTTTTAGAATTTCTGTCAGCCTGCGGGCTAGTCAGTCAGAAAACTAGCCAGTGTTTAGGATGCCTGTGCCAGCCAGCCACAGGCGACCTATCCATATGTTATTGGGCTGAACGGCGCAAGACATCTGGATTCCTTTCAATGTTAGAAGAAAACTGAGGGCAAGCAACGTCAGTCTTTCACTGGATGTGTGATCAAATCAGGTCATTGTATGTATGCATAATTTCTGAAGGGAAGCCTGTTGGACCAAGTTGCCGTCAAACAGATGTTACATAAAGATTTCTAAGAAAATCTAGGAATAAGAGTCAAAATGTCCAAAAAGACGAAACAAAAAGCAATATAGACATTTCAAAATCACGTTTGACGCCATTTCCACCATTATCATCAAAGAATACCTCCTCTGTTTGCAAGGGTTTCCTACGTCCGTGAACCGTCACACGATCTGAAACGATCTAATATTAAGACAAATTGTTCCAGCACTAAGGGTTTCCTTTCTAAGACGATCAGTTGTAAATGTGATTTCAACAAACTCACCTCATGTCCTCGTTTGACCGTTGTCACAACATTGACTTCTCTTTCGTCACCATTTTCACAATCCTGTCTCACGTCAAATTGAGCACTAAATCCAGACACAGTTGTGTCACGCAAGGAGAACACAAACGTAGCACTCGGTAAGCGGTGGATGCCTTCCCAAATGTCTCGGAAACGAATTTTCTGAGTTAAAAAAAAAAAAAAAAAGTAAAAGCTAAATTGACGCCGGTAATCACTCTCTCGTCGTAAAATACCATTCATTTGCATTTCCAGTTTTGCTAGAGAATGCAACCCATGGTTTATAACATACATGTGATAAATAAGCCATCTCGTAAAAAAAAAAAAAACCCCGCCACTTTCAAGATGGGGTCGGAGGTTCCATTTCTACGAAAATAGGAACTACTTTCAACGTAAAAGACATTGCACTCACTCTCTTTTAAGGCGCAAACATTGGCCTTCACGTAATAGACCTGCAAAACGTATATCATACCACGATAAGATGAGTCTACCTTTGTTTTCAGTCTGGGCTGCCAGCCCGTTTGACAATCCGTAAGTTCGACTAAAAGATCTCCCCCGCCGTCCTTGAAGCGAAGTTGTTGAGGAGATTCAATCGTTTCACCTCGATACTTCTTTATTTCATGATTGTGTACATCCTGGAATAAGAAACAGGTATAATAGGTAAGAACAAGCAAAGAAAATGTGTAACACTAATAAAGATGATTCTGCTACTTTACTTTGCAGAAATATTTCGCCACCTTTGGAAAAAATCTGATTTTAGGCCAGTTTTACAGGAAAATGGACAAAAATCTACCGTATTCGTACTATATCAAAATCTAAATTATATATCAACTCATCCAATTGCTTGTATGGTAGGGAAATAATCATTTTAATAATCGTTTTCTCATATATAGCTGTGTGATAACGAATCCTTGATTATTGATACTCACGCTGTACCCTTGTTACGAATTCGAAAGATATGGGTTCATCTATTCTAACTAAAGCAAGCTTACTTCGCGAGTCACTTCACAAACCTCAATTGCTGCTGGAGTGCCTTCAACGCAATAAACTCTCACAACACAGTCGGAGTTGGCTTCTGGAGGTGTAACGTAAGCTAAAACCTGCAAATCTCGCTCGGCTTTCTGATTGGCTGTTGACTCTCCAATCACAGCAAAGAGGGTAAAATGATCTACCATCAAATGGACCGTATTGGGTCCAACTAAAACATGGGAGTCCTCAGTTCCATCCTGAGTGCTGACATCAATCAGCTGCTTCCAATCTGCAATTGTGCTGGGTTCACTTTCATTATACTGCACTGTCGGGTAAAGAAAAGAAGTCTTTAAAAGAGAAAAAAAAAAACCACCAACAACATCAACAACGTCAACAACACTCCTGGAAACATTTTTAGACTCCAATGTTGTCCCAAGTCTAACAGGTTAAGATAGCTTGCGTTGGCATTAACCTTTCCTGTACACGAGTTCCCTGTCTTTCTGTTTGACTAGTTAATAGACTCAACTTGGAAGTGCTTGCAAGACGTTGTGCTCGACAGATCAGCACTCATCTCAGTATTGCAAGTACTAAATGAACGCAACAAAATAAAAAAAAGCTACCTAAGGGCTGGTTGAAAATGTTTTTCATGACCTCGTTGAAAAGAGAAGCCCTAAAAACCCAAGACCAGAAAACTGCATCCCCAGCTTTAGATAATTAAACGGTATTTATAAGGGAGTGACCTACTCAATTTGATTCCATTTTTACCTTTGAGTTTCCATGCTCCTCTATCAAGAAGCGCGCAGTGTGGTATACTCAATGTCACTGGTCGCTGAAATTTGAGACCAGTGGGACCACATTTAACCACTGGACTCAGCAGTGACTGTTTGCCAGTGATTTGCGGGTGTTCTTTTTCTTTGTTTACAATAGCGATGTAAATTCCTTCAGTGCGACCCTCTGGGATGGCTCCTGTTGGTACGGTTAGGCTCACACCAGTATTCCCTATTGTGAATTTCCCTCCGTTGTGATCCACAAGTCCACAAGCGACCATTTTTGGATCAGCGTTTTCCGGAATGTTGGAGATGTTCCACATCATTCGTGAGATTTCAGACGCTGTTGATTTGTTACTAACAGACGAATATGTCCTCTTGAAGTTTCGAGAAGTATCTTCCCTTTCTTCACCGTTAACGTGAGCTTCAACCTGCATTGTCTTCCCTCGCCCCTTGAGCAATGCTGATGCTGCTGGATATTCGCTTGCTCCTTGGAAGTCAAAAGCTCCAGAGCCCGTTGGAGATGCAGCAGTCAACTTTCTATTAAGTGGTGGAATCTCTGCATAGGATGCACACCGAGATACAACATGCCCTTTTTCGTCTGTGATATTCTTTGAACCTGTGTAATAGTCCAAGAAGAAAAAATGTCACCACATCAAGATAAATGTAAAATGGAATGTAGAAGAAATGCATCGTGCGCAAATTTATTTGGTTATAAAAGGTAAATTGTAATTTCCTCATCCACATAACGCTGAGTTTAAGGAGGTGTTTGCAAGCTTACGTATAGCAAGGTTCAATTTGAATTTGACTTGCTGGTTTATGTGAGGCAGGGGAAACCGGAGAACAATAAGATAGATCCTAAGATTAAGGACGAGAATGGACAACAGGAACCGAGTTTGGGCCACTGGTCCATACCCTAAGATAAGCCCTAGCACTGATGAAGGCGTCTCTCTTAAATGCAATATTAGTATACAACGACATTCACTCAAACTTTGTATTGCATAAAACGACCTAAGAGCATCACTTTATGAGTAAACCATGACTCTTTAATGAACTTTTTCGCTTCAAATGTAACAATTATCGTGCGTGAATATGAAAAAAGTGAGGATTGTACATCGTAAGTGACATACGTACCTACGTCATGACCTGAGCAGAATGTACACTCGTGAGCATGTGTCCATGTACCTTCATTTTGCCTCGCGACAGAAAGGCCAAATCGCTTACGTAGACTTCTATACCGGTTTACATAGATGAATAAGACTATACACACCACCAGCAGTAATACAGCAGGGACAATTAAAAATAACCTGAAGGCAACTTAAAAAAAAGAAATAAAAAAACAATATATCAGAAATGGGTTTTTTCCTCCTTGGTGTTGTGTTCAGGTTGGCTTAGAGCAGTGCAAAAATAGTATAATTAGTGAAAATGACAAATTCGTGCAGATTTCGACGATTCACGTATGTCTTTAAGTTAAGTAACAATTCGACGAACCAATCAAATTTGACCGGCGCAAATTGTAATTTCTTACCCCCAAAAAACAATATTACAGAAATAAAAATTTCGTTCATTTTTTAAGGTTAAACAGGTCTATCATAATTGCGTGTATTTTGATATTACTATTATCATAGTTATCATATCACTGGGGGCTATCGTTGGAGAGTTCCAAAGGATCTTACCAAATAAAGTTTTTGTCGCTTTACCTGTTGAAATAATGACTGGTGGTGCTTTTGAAGCCAAAGTGTTTCCCTTGCAGTTCGGGGTTGCACACGCAAAGGCTGGAGGAAAATAGACATAAGAAAAGTCATTCTTGAGCTGAATGAGGACTCTTCGATAGGCATACGCCTAAAATAGCTATTGGTAAATTACACGATAGCGTTTTGACCAAACAAGGTTCACAGATAGTCTCACACATTTTCTAAGACCTACCTACATGTTCTGGTTTACTACTTAGTTGAAATTTCTGTATGCAATAACACTAATTAAATATCTCGCAGTCTTGACACTATAAAGAATATTAATGAATGTACTCGTAGGAAACAAATGGAAGCATTCACCGACTCTCCATCAGTACTGTATTAACATGTATACATCAAAAATCTTAACATCCACCCTGTTAAGAGCTAATATTTTGTGTCTTAAGTCTCTGTGATATCAGAGAATATCGCTAATGATATCTAAAGCAAAAAGTGTTAGGACTTACCAGAATTATTATACACTGTAATGTTGAAGGAACAACTGGCTGTGTATCCGCACTTATCCTGTGTTAAATACTTGATGACATACACCGAACTTTTTGCTTCAAACAAAGCAGGTGGCTGGGCCCAATCAGGAATAACTTTTACTGAGAACTTTGTATCATTCCCTGCACTGTGAATAACAGGCTTATTCCAAGAGATATTCAACAATCTCACATCTGATTGGTTGACAAATATGTTGATGGGATCAGGACAAGTTATACTAATATCTATAAAAGAGGAAAAAAATCCGAGTTTGTTGTTGTCCCATCATTCTAAATTTTAAATAGAACAGTTTCTGTTCGGTTTTAAACATCTTTATTTTGGTGTGATTTTGTATCCAGCAATCAGCACCTGAGGGTTCACTTTTAAGTCAGATGTCAGTTACACATTGCTTGTCTCTATTGCCACAATAACAGAATGTTACCCATTCCTGAATTAAAGACAAAAGGAAAAATATGTTTCAGTGGTACAGTGCTGTAGTTTCCAACCTCCACCAAACTCCATTCTCTCAGCCCATGGACTCCCCATTCACTTTTACAACTACGCAAAATGCATTCAATTGATCCTCAAAAGAACATGCATGCTAGAGGTTGACAAAAAGGCTAGACAGATGAGACACTTACATTGCAAATACGTCAAATACATCTAAAAGTTAATATATGCTCTCAAGCTGGGTGACATTCATTCCAGAAGCTTATCTCAGCTTCTGTGTTGTAAATTGACTAGGAACTACCTTTGGTTCCTGGATGGCATGCATTTGAAATCTCAGAAATTTGTCAGGTTTGGCTGACAGTTTGTCCCACTCACAAACGTAGATGGAAGGAGACACTGCAAGAGTGACCAACATGTATCTACTTCATAGCTACACCAAAATGACCATGACACAATGTACCTGGAGAGAAGTCTTGACATGGCTCGTATTTGATATTGGAACCTTCACAGAGGTCTCCACCATTTTGAGGTGGAGGATTTGAACACAACCGTTTTAACATCTTCCTCCCAGCTCCACATTTGGGTGCATTACAAGGTGAAAACTCCTGCCACTCAGACCAACCACCATCAACTGTAAATAAGTATAATATGTCAACCAAACAATTCAATTTACATGCTACATAACTGTTCATAAGCCACCATCATAATCAGTTTCCAAGACAGCTATTGTGAAAAGGTAAATATATAGAAAAAGCATACAGTGCATATAAGTAACAATTACCATTTTGCCCTGTCTCTCAGTATGAGGTTCAATAAGTTTTTGGAACTTTTCTGATCAATACATGTATATACATATATACCACTCTTGGGTAAAATCGGTTGATAGGTTTGTGGAGTCTTTTGAAGTAAAGAATAAGTCAGTTATAGTGGCTAGGTCATGGGTATCTAGTACAATATACATCTAAATATTTGTCAAGTTGATTGACTCAGACAAATTAAGTTTCAGGTAAAACAATGCTGAAGATGGGTGATACAATAAAAAACTGTTAAGTCCAGCCTTGACTTCTTTTGCTGCTAAATCACTTAAAAAACATTTGATCAAATTTTTTTGATTGATTTCCATTGTTTGTGATTGCTTAACAAAACATTTAGTTAAATAGTATTTGTTTGATTGTAAACATTTATCTTTTTAACTTGTAACAGAGGAAACAGACCTTTAAAAGCAAGCAAATTGTTAATAATTAGAGACACATGTTCTACAAAACTATTGCCATCACAGATAAATTCAGTTAATATATAAAGGTCGTACCATAAACAGTTAACTTGATAGCAGTACTCTTTTGGCTTCCAGCAAGGTTTGACACCTCACAGGTGTAATGCCCTCCATGTGAGATTTTTGCTTTCCTTATGATGACCTCAAGGAAGTTAGGATCAGTTCCAAACAGAACTCCTCTGCTGCTTGAATCCAAGAGACGACCATCTTTCCACCAGGAGACCGTTGGTCTTGGAACTCCTGCTGGAGGCTTGCATTTCAAAGTGACCAGAGTGTTCTTTGGTACTCTTGTGTTAACAGACGGTGAAATCACTATATTTTTGTCCAGATCTGCCAAGAGAATTAAAGAACATTGGAAAACAATTACTTTTCCATCTGTTTTAGTGAGCCATTTTCCTATCAGCTGACCCCATCACACTACGGAGGCCAGTTAGAGTTATTAGTTAGCAAGACTCCTTACCTTTACCATGCACATGGTGGCTCTAATAATATAATTATGCTAGGCTTCTAAGCATTTAATTTTTTTTATTAAGCAAAGATAGGTCGGTACTTTTTTCTCTAGTTTGCACTCAGGTTTCAAGACAGGCAACTTATACCAGAAAAACTCTTAAAAATGAATTGCAAACCAGCAAAAAACAAAACAAAACAAAGCAAAAACAAAAAAATTAAAAGGAAAATTTTGTCCTGAGCCTTATATAGCCAACAAGAATTAGACATTAGACTTTAGCAAACCTCACTTGTAATGCACCAAACTGTCAAGTATTTTCGCTAATGTCCTACATGTACATGACACCACACAGGACCTTCAATTGTTACAAAATAAAAGAAAAACAAAAAACAGGACACTGCTGACAACATAGATCCTCTTACAAGCTTTTTTGATGGCTGCAGGTTGACTTTTTATTACTTGACCCTTATCACCAGTAGCCACACAAGTGCAGACAGCATCAGTAGCATTGTTTTTGAAGAGGTCCTGAGATATGGTTATTTCCACAATCAGCAACTTCCCTGGGTTCTCGGTTTGACTTTCATGAATTTCTCTTTGAAGTAAATCACCACTACAATGAAAAGTTAAGTCTAACACAAATCTGGCCTCGCACAACAAATTGACTGACGGTGAGTTTGGCAGGACAAACTGGTCTTCTGGTTCAGTGATAAATTCAGGTTTTACCACATTTGTACCTGTAAAGAAAAAAGGGAGGGGGGACATAAATAATGAAAACAAATATGTATGTGTATTATTTGGTTCTTTGAGCAGCTTTCTGTTTCAGTAACAAAGTCACATACTCAAATATCTTCCATATGTTTATAAAACATGGCTCACTCAAGTGAATACCAAAGCTTCTAAGTATAAGCAATAATCATTAATGGAATCAGAAGTAGACAAATAAGAAAAATAAAGGTTAGCTACCAGGTCACAACAAGAACTTCATAATATGAACTTCATAATTGGTTAAATAATCTTTGATTAGGACTGAGTGGAGTCCAATTTGGTCTGTAATCATACAGATGATTAACAGAATCCAATGACCATGAAGAGGGAGTCTAATTTGTGAATCATGAGTATGATTACAGACAGAATTGATTATGTGAAGTCTTGTTACCAACTAATCAAAACTATAGCAGCATTAGAGAGACAAACTAATTTTCCGCTATTTATTTTCATAAGACCAACAGTGAATTCTGCAAAATGAGCGACAATAGTGGACACACATGACGTGTACCATCCAAGTTATGAACAAAATATACACACTGTCCTATTTGTGCTCAAATTGGGCTGGTGGTAACCAATGAATTAGTTGCCTGTAATCGGATCCTTGTGTTTGCACAATTATTTCTGGGACAGTCAATATACAACTTGCTAGAGAGAAATGTGAGGCAAAACATTGTTTTAATGTCCAAAAAAAAAAAAAAAAAACATTTTGGTTTGAGATCATTGCTTTTTTTGCCTTTATCTTATCAGAAATGGGTGTGGGTAATATTAATGTAGGGTATCCCAAGGTTTTGTTTGAACAACCATGAAATATTTCATAAAATCTAGCAATTACCTTTTCTCCATGTGCAAGGGTTATACTGAAATTGACATTGTATAATGATCTTCTACTTTAGAATGATTAGTGATAAATCACCAAGAAATAACTCAATGAAGCCCTTTCAGCTTTATTTACGTGTTTTAAGTCCACTTCCAGCTTTTTCCTTTGCTTGATAATACAAAAAAAAAAAAATGATACAACAGCTACCACAAGGCAGCAATAGATTGAAATGGTATGCTTGACAATTAAATATTATTGAGATACATTACGTGATGAAACACCTATATTGCCTCTGTGTTATGATCAATAAGAACCAACCAGCATTGATAATTGGCTCCAAACAACCTTTTGCCATATATTTCCTTCTAACAACTTGCAATGTTTGCCCTGTGGTGATCCCAGAAATCTTTACACAAATACAAGGATCTGATTACTGGCCACTCATTCATTGTCAAAGTTTTCAACAGTACATTAAACATTACATAAAAATAATATGCACAATTTTTTGGTGAAAATATTTATCACTGCAAAATTTAACATGTGATCAATTTATCACATATGATGTAACATTAAGGTGCTCCTTGTCAAATACACACACACAAATTAAACTTTCTTAAATTCACCAAGTAGTTAATTCAGATTCAGCAACATCAAACAGTTGATGAATTAAGTAATCAAATCTTGATGGTTCCTTGTTGTGCAACAGAATCTCACTGACTCCAACTTGGTTAGCTCTAACTTTTTGCTCTGAACTATAAGCCTTTTTCCTTTAATTACACCTTTCAGTTACCAGAAATTACCTGCACCAATGGATTTTAAAGGGAGTTGGCAAATTACCCCCACACATGAATAACCAGCATCTTGAAAACTGAGAAATTCATAAAATAAAGCGTTTTAGTGCCAGTTTTCATTTCCGTTTGCAGCTTCAATAGGCAGAGCTCTACTGGGGCTCCTTTTTTCCCTCTTAAATCTTAATTACAGTTGTTATTGTTTACAGTTTCCGAGTCTGTTACTCCATGTTTCTTAATTTGAATTCGACAGCATCAACACAAAATGTGTAACATCAATCACAGACATTTAATTCAGTGTTTTGTTCAAAAGTAATTGTAAAATACTTCTAAGGCCAAAACATTTGCTTACAAAAACCAAAGCACGTTTTAATAATTGCTTCAGATCACATGAACACGTGAGGTGATAAATGTAAAAGGAAACCACAACGAAAGTCTTGGAGACAGATTATCACGCAAGCGATAAATTCATTTCCGGTTCTTACACAATCTTAAATTTTAATTGGAGTGATTAACGCCAAGCATGGCAAACTATGCCATTTGGAACCGTTCCTCTCTAATATCCCATCCCTGAGATATAAGTTTATGTTTTAGTGTAGTGTACAGGCCGTAAAGGAAATGCGATATGTCTAAAGTACTTAACGGTTGCTAGTTTTCATTATAAACTTTTGTCGAACAGAGTCGATGAACTGTCATTGTCCAAAAAGGCTCACTTTGAGAACGTAGTGGTTATACGGATAATCCACGAAGGCTAGTTAGCAAAGGAATTTATAACGACCCAGCCACATTAGGGCAAATCATTACCACCAAATTAGAATAAATAAAAGAGAATTAAGATTCAGCACAAATCAAAACAAGACTCAATTTTGCAATTCTTTAAGTCAAAAATAACTTCCTAGTCTTCCGATGTCGCACACGAAAGGTGAGTTAACTTCTGTGTAAACAGGCAGACGAAAAGATCGATGACAAACACGATTTTGCAGCTTTGGGAAACACACAGATGAAAATGCATGATTCGATCAACTACATTGTCCGACGCGTAAACAATCAAGAATATTGCGAAATCATAACTTATCTGTTGATTGAAACTGAACGTTGTTAGTCAGATGTAGATGAAAACTGAGAGGGTTTTTATTTGCCAGGTCAAAGGACTTTATTAGCGGTATTTGACTAATTGAACAAAAGCAAATTGTACAAGGTTAGGCCTTCCAGACTGATAAGGTCGTACGTGCTGACATATGCAAACGACGCAGACTTGTTTACAAAAAAGATTTTCAGTCAAGCCCCAAAATTCAAACCACTGTGCATGTCAAACTTTAAAAATTTTCCTATGTGAAAGTTACACTACTTACTTGGGACGTCTTCTAGCAGTCCTGGTGATCTTTCCCTTCCGAGCCCTATGTCTGACCCACACGCGGACTGAGACAGGACAAAACATATCATGCACGCTAGAACAACGCGGCTCTCCATGTTACTATTCGTAGATCCGCTTGTTCCACTCTGTAGATGAGTCTTAAACTGCAAAACAACTTTTCATCGATAATTCTGATGTCGGAAGAGCTTTTCGTCAGGAAATATTGAAGTGCCAATGTCACACTACGAAGAAAAAATTTCCCATCAAAGGCAGCTTCTCTGCATGGTATAACAAAAACTGTAGATTTAGAGATAACGTCACACTTGCTGAGTTCAAGGGCCGCGCAGGACTGACTCACGAGCTAAGTGTGACGTCACTCCGGAAAGACCTCTTGGAAGTGCTTATCACATTTGAAAGGTTACGCTATTTTTGAGCGACATATGTTTAAAAATAACATTTGTCTATCGCTATAGTCAATTAAACGAGATATTTCTAATTTCTATGTTTTGATGTAATGGCTGAGAGTATAAACAGTTGAAAGAGGAGTATGAGAAAAAAAGAATCTACATATCTAGAAAAGAAAATTGTTTCCTAAATTGCTTGCTAAAAAGTATCAGAGATTTGAAAACGAGACAACTATGTAATCATCCTGTATTACTTGTATTAAAACCATACGAGAGATCTTTTTGCTGGGTTTGGCCAATCGAGTCTAACCGATTCACAAACATTTACTCGAAAATTTGCTAAGGCTAGAATATTTATTCAACCACTTTTGCAGCGCTAGATTAAATTAATTTCATGTCATGTGCGCGACTACACACACCAAAACGTAAAAAATACACTTATAACTTACCGTGCAAGAAAACTGGACTGAATTTATAAAACAAAATAGCTGATGGAGAGGAAGCAATCGCGCAAAAATTTTCTTTGACAAAGTGTGGTGGGATTGATATATTTATACCGGAGAGCATAATTTGACCATTTGATAATGTTAGAAAAAAAAATCAAAGGAAGCGTCCCTTTGTGCATAAACAAATAGTCAACAAAAGGGCTTCTATCAATAACTTATGCTTACCACTAAATACCTGATACTATCAGTAAATGAACAAACAAAAGATTCATACGTGCCTCTCTATGACAAGCCACTATTCGGGTTCATCGTAAATGCACATAAACTGAATGTTCGAACCCAGCCTGCGTAAAGCTTGAGGGAGGTGGGAAGGGAGATAAAGGGGGAGGGTAGAAGGGTTGTAAAAACATATTAATAAGTTACTGACAGTTTCAAAACAATTTTGCACCCTAGTGCATCATTAAGACTGAGTTGATGTTGCATTTCTGTCATGTGCCATCAAACCACTCATAATTTCTCACTTACGCTCCGAACCTTCCAGTGTTAATCTCCAATATCCTAACAGTTTGGAGTGGTTTGATGCGGTTTCATTTACTGAAACGTTCTAACCAAACTCCATTGACACAGAGAGACTAAAGTTCAGTAGTGGGACATTCTTAACAATAATTATTTGCAAGGAAAGAAAATCGTATCGGTTGAAGGGGTAATCTCCAATAAGGGGTTGTTTTTTTATACGAAGGAGTGCTATGGCTCTATGTCTTTTTTATTAAACCAAATTGAAGGTAACACATTTAATGTAAGGGTAATGATGCCAAATGTTTTGACTTTCTGCACGGTTTAGGGTATTTATTAGGGTATTCCAACTGACATGAAACTGAAAAGCATGAACGTTATTAACAAATTAACTTAAGACTCGCAGTTCTTTCGTCACCTGCGGCGGAATGTAATCGAATGCTACCCTGATTTCTCGACTAGGCCTGATATAGTCAATAGTGAAAACAACACCTCCAAGATAAGGGGGGTTTTCAACGAATTACAGCGGCGTAACGTATTTTTTTTTCTTGAGCAAACATTGGAAGGGGTAGTTAATCGAGTAAGTAGTAGAAAATGCAAATTGTGATAGCTTGAGTTCGCATATATTTCTATTTCGCCGCCGCGCACATGACATCACTCTGTGTGCCTGGTTGAGTGTGGGAGGTAAAATCAAACAGAAAGTAGGTGAACGGAAACGGTGGTTTTTGCTGCATATTTCTTGGCTTGGCTCACGCCGTTTTTGACACTCCTGCTCCTACGCTCGTTCCCACTAACGGAGCGAGGGAGCCTCATACACAAGGTAAGTTTTATTTTCCGGGCTAAGAAATGCTATTTCCCGCGTTTTACAAGGAAGGCTTTCGTAAAACGAAACAGGATAACAGATAGGATAAGACAAGAACCTTTATTTAAGAGCGACGGTCAGGAAATATCGACCATTGAGTGGCAAGAGTTGAAA